TCTGTGAGATAGGAACAATTTGGGTTTCTATCAAAGGAAAACAATATCAAAATCACAAGGTTGTTCCTAAACATGGAAAAGCTTAAATGAAGTCTGCATTGATGCACAGGAGGTTTATAAATTCCAGGCCAACGTGGCTACTTAGGGAAACCCTGTCTAAAAAGTGAAAATTTCTTTGCCCTATACATAGTGTTCACTCTCCACAATCAGAAAGCACTTCAATGATATCTATCAGATTTGGGGAGAAAATGATATTTATTTTGAAAAATGACGATTCTGATAATTATTACAGCCATCAACCCTTCCTTATAACATACCACTCCTTGCCCCCATTCTTCCAACTGAGATATAGAATTTTGAAAAAGTACTCTTTTTTATTTTTACTTACTCAAAGACTGAGTACCTTAGGCAGGTCAAAAGTGTATTAGTCTCCAGAGACACAAAAATAGATAGAAAATATAATCTCTGTTCTTTCAAGGTCCTTAGTTCCAGTGTGGGACTTAGAGAAGTGAAAATTATTGCAGAGGTGACATCTATGACCTGTGGAGACATTTTGGAGGTGTCGGAACTCTTAACAATTGTGTTGTGGAGTCATCTTTGCTCATCAGATATAATGGCCAGAATTTCAGCCTTCCATGTGGTCATGTGACTGTTTCTAGCCAATGAACTGTCAGGGAAGTGACACATGACACTTTCAGGGCAGGTCCTAATGATCTCCTAACCCCACGTCTTTCTCATCATTTCCCTTGAGTCTGGCTGGAAATGAGGTCCCTCTCCAGTGAAGGGTTATGTGAGGACAGTCTCTAGGAAACATTTGGTCCCCAAATCATCTCATAAAGGAAGGCTGCTCTTTCAAGGTTTATTCCTTCTTTAAAGAGTGTTATGTGAGAAGACATTTCTGGTATATTTTATAATTATTCATTTCAGATTTATTTTTTGTCACTGTTAACCTTCCCCATCTAACACTAATATGGACCATAGTTTGCTTGATTGGTTGGTTTTGGGTTTTTTTTAGAACAAAAAATCTCACTATGTAGCACAGACTGGCCTCTAACTCATGACTCTCCTGCCTCTTGAATGCTAGGGTTACAGGTGTGTACCACTATGCACAGCTGAATTTCTTATTCAAAACCATTTTTCCTTTCAATCTATTTGGTAAGATCTCAGGTAAGAAAGAATCTTACTATTTAATTGTTTACATCTGCACTTGAGCTTTTGAGAGCCCGTTCATAGAAAAATGACAGAAGAAAACACTCTGCCTGAGACTCGTGGTGCTAGAACCCTAACATTGTCATTTCAGGTACATTGCCTGATCTAAAAAAAAATTCCCCTCCCCCTCCCAAAAGAAGCAAATACTACAAAGTACCTAAATGACTCTCAGGAAAATGAAAAACAAATAGACATACACTTTTGTCTGGTCCCAGATATTTTTATTTCCAACTCCTGTTGCTGGCAACAAACACTAAAAATTGCCAACTTTCAGTGGCAATGTTACCTTATTTCCTCCAGATTGAATACCTAAGTGGGATGTGAGCCCAATTCTGAGTGGCAGTAATGCAGCATTTATTCACCCCTTCTCCATAAGTAGGACATGAGTTCAAGATGAAGTATACTATCATTTATATATTCAACAAATATTTACATAGCACCGATGGCCCAGGAGCTGTTTGAGCCCCTGGGTGTGCAAGCAAAGCAGAACTTCTGGCCGTGTGTTCTCTGCTTGCTCTTTGCACTGGCGGGAAGTGTTGCCCACTCTGATGCTGAGGTTTGTCTTGTGGTGACAGTCACAGCCTGATACTGCAGCCATTGTTCATCACCTCTTTTTGACTGCCTTCTTCATCAGTGTATCTCAAACACCCAGAACAGTGTCTGACACATAGTAAGTCCACAGAAGACACATAGTAAGCTGAACAGAAGAATCTTCCATGCTGGTCCTCTATTCAGACACCACTCGAGGAGAATGCAAGGTCAAAGGTTAAGATAAAAAGCAGTGGAGGCTGGTCCTCTGCAGCCTCTCACTGCTCTCACCAGTGGCCCTCTTGTATTTTTTTGCCAGTTCACCACTTGGCAACCTCCAAAAGTGTCCACAGGAAGCTGGCAAAGTCCACACCAAAGGCCTCCAGGTTCATAAAATACTTGCAGTTATAGTTTTTGGATTTATTTCATTAAGTACAGCATGATTTTCTGGAAGTTGTGTTTAGAACCTAAAACACTGTTTAGCATGAAGGCCTACTTCCGTAGGAAAGGGCTGCATTGCTTCTTTCTGGAATATTTGTGGCTCCTAGCTATTTTAAGCTATAGAATGTACCTTGAATAAAATGAGACGTACCTGGAGCTTTTAGAAAGCCTGCCTTCATTTAGATAAAGCACTCTGAGACATAACAGGGGTTAAACCCATGACCCTCCCCTTTAGACACAGACCACCCAACCATGCAAAGGCGCCTAGGAGGTCAGTTGCGCTCCTAAGGCCCATGCACCTGGTCACTGCTTCCTTTTAGGTCTGCACTCCTGGGTCACATGGTTGGGGAAGGAGGGATGTCCCCCAAGCTTTTCCTGCAGCTTCTTCTAAATATCATGGCACTGGGAACAAGAAAAATACTGGCATGTAATGCTTTTAGCCTCCTCAATTTATTCACCCCAAGGGCTTGTGCTCCTAACAGTTAGCTAAATTATATCCCCGCCCCTTATGGCAAACGGTCTTTCTTACTTAATAATCTATTTTCTTCCTATATTTAGCTTCAGCTGATACCAAAACTTCAAGCTCGATATCCCCAGCCCAACTCTTAATGCATAAGAGAAATGTTTTATACTTAGAAAAAATGATTTCCTCTTTCAATAAGCAGTATTCTATACTAGTGTTTTTTTAGGCACTCAAACCATTTAATTTAAAAGTTAGAACAAAAAAAACCCACCTCTTTGTTCTTGATTGTAAACTAATGAATCAGAGTAGCAAAGTTTATTGAAAATAAAAATATTAGCTTTATATATCAAAAATTTGATGCCTGTTATATCAATAACCAAGAAAAGACACTAGAAAAAAAATCATAATATCTAGGTTGGTTGTACGAGGACCTATATACATGTGAAAATTTGGAGATAGGTGCTATAAATGCAGACACTAGGATAAATTATCAAGGAGGAGTACCATTAAATAAATAAATTGAAGAGATAAAATCTGAGAAAGCAAACAAGAATTAAGAGCATCCTGCAAAGTCATAAAAGGAAATAGAAAACTATTATTTTAAAGTGCCAGACTAGAATGTGTTATTGCAGTTTTAAAAGTCAGAAAGTTTGTAAATTTTGGTAGCAATTCCTGTGATGCCAGCTCCTCATAAAATGTCTTAACAACTCCTCAAGTTGTATAAGCTAGCATACAATAAAAATATAATAAATTCATGAGAAGTACACACTACTAGTTCACATCCACTGCATATGTCTGTGCAGTGCTTTTGGTTTAGCTTATATTTATGGTTTCTATTACTTCTGTTAGTAAGAGTGTATGTACTTGACTATGACTCTGGTTACACGAATGACAAATGAATCCACAATTTGGGCAATAAAGTGATTTTCAGTTGCAGTGCAGTGCAACAGATGTGCTTCAGTTATTTTTGAAGTGACTGTGTTCTTTTTAGGAACTTAACTGAACCAGATGACTCTTCAGTGACCAAAATAGACTAATTTTTCAAATTAAAACTTCAGTTAACGCAAGCATATAGAATTATTTCCGTCAATCATAGTCAGAGACATCCTGCTATAATTTATTACAATCTGATATACTTTCACAACACAAAACAGCTCATGAACAAATAAAGAAGTTTTGTGAATTTAACTTGCAATTAAAGAATTGAAATACGCAAGCTCTTTCAAAGTGCATGCACTTTTCAAATTCTTGTTTAAACTTGATATAAATCTTTAGGACTTTTATAATTTGATTTTAATTTTTATATATAAATGTTTATTCCTTATTCCGAGTTCACTGTATCCTTAATCTTTGATGCTGTGGTGATATATTTTCAGGATGCACTAAGTTGGAACAGAAATATCAAACATTTTCAATAGCCTTGAACCAATTCTTTAACAGCAGAAAAGGTAAACAAATTTAAACCCACACATGTGACATCACAGGAAAGAAAAATGACACACATGGACCACGTGTATGGGATCACACAGGATTGAAAGCTGCCATGTCAGGAATGCTCACCCCTCACCTGATGCAGGATGAAATTAATTTCTAATTAGTTAATTCAAATTTTCTTTGAATTTTAATGTCAATAATTTAAATTCATATTTGAAAATTTTCTGACATTAGTGCTAAGAGAATAAAATGAGGGAGCTAAGCTGATTTTAGTACATATATCTTGATTAAGTTAATCCAATAAGACAATAACTTATTTAACTTTTGCTTTGAATAGCTATCTATTAACAAGTGGAAATTAGATTCACATGTGATAGGAGCAAGCGGTTAAATGACTAACAAAATGTCAAGACCCTAATCTGTTAAATACTAAGAAAGAAATGAACAAAAAATGAGTAACAGTTAACAGTGTGGAAGAATTTGAAGATGACTAGTGCTAATCACTCTATAAACAAACATTTAAAGAAGGATTTGCCAACTCATAGAGTCAGTGCTGAATTCTATTTTTAGAAGATAGTTCCCTCAGCACATGATTATCATCGAGGGATATTTAAAGAAATGCAATAGGGCCAAAGGGATTAAGGACTAATGAGTATTGACTTGCTTTTTTGTTTGTTTCAATCCGAGATGTGTAGTATCAAAAAAAGAGGAGACATAAGCTTGGTGAGAGGTTAGGCCACTACGACAGCACCAGACATCCCACTTTAACTAAAATATCACTGGTGAAAGGAGCAGGACTAAAAGCTGAGATCTTCCTCTCTTATTCTGTTAAACTGGGAACATGGGAAGCAATAAATGGAGAAGGATGATAAAGCTAGGATGGAGGCACGGGATGCTCTGTCCGGGACAGTACATGAAGTCTTTCGTTGAAATTAATACTGCATTATATTGACTTCACATTATTCAAACTATCTATTTCCAACTCTGCTTCCTCAATTACTGCCAATGCTTTAAATTAAGAACAGTGAGGTTATGAAAGTCTTTTCCTAATGATCATAGGTACTGAAATGAAGTGACATTGAAAGGCAAATGTATTTAAATGTGCTTAATTTTGTGTATGTAATCTACTGAAAAATAAACTAAAATTTCACTTGCAATTGCAATCCTTCCCATGAAGGCAAAATGTACCTTTTAGAAGAAATAATACATTCTGTTTAATGTAGTACTCATTTGAGAACTCAAATATCAGTTTAAGCCACCTTTAGGTCACTTCATTTTCCTAGTATTTCAATTCCCTGCAGGTACATGAAGGAGGAAGGAGGATGTTTTAAGCTGTTTGAAAGAATGGAAGGATGCCTTTTCTTCCTGCACAATTTAATGTTCTGAGAAAGAATTTTTTTGTAATTTGAAATATATTTCAGCCATCATTATTTTCTTATTCTTTAAGCAAATGCATTGAGAATATTTAATCCAGTTGTAATATGATCAGCTACTTCGATTCTTATGACAGATCTCAAATTCATTCTCTTTCCACTGTGATTTCCTTGTTTGACAAGCCAATGGCTGTTCCTCCCTATCATTTGAAACCCAGCACTGAGTCACCCTGTCAGGGAGGGTGTGGGGCACACAAAGCTTTGGAACACGTATATAGGAACAGGACGCTGATTTACAGAGAGATCACTGGCATTTCTTTAATTTTTCTTTTATTTTCACTGACAGTAAAATTTTGGGGGGAGTACAATCAGGATAGTGTTTTAATAGAAATAGCACTAATAGAAGCTTGGTCATAAACAATAATAGTCATAAGAAGAATTTCTCGTACCAAGGCATTCCACACAGAGATAACAGCACAATAAATAAATTCCCATTTGTCACACAACAAATAAAAACTTGCAGTAACAAAAACATGACTTTATAAATGTTCATATAATAAAAATACAAGCAAAACTATAAGACCATGCAGTGGAGATGGAGCTCAAAGTGAATAGTTATAGCAAAAAAAAAAAAAGCAAAAGATGAAAATTTTCAAGTATTGCAAGAGGAGGAAAGGGGAAGAGTAAAACAGAATGATTTTGAAATAAATCAGTTACGTTTGCTACCCTAGGAGGGACACTGACATAACTGTCTTGTCCACTAATACTTCATACTTTTAGGATATATACTGTTATCCACTTAAAGATAGATTCTGTTTCCTTGGATCCCATCCCATATTACAAGGATGGAATGAAACTCATTGTTTACTTTCATTATGAGTAGACGCAGTGCAGGAAAGTATTTCCAGCACCAGGCCAGTGAAATGCCCCACAACTGTAAGGGCGTGGGAGTCAAGAGACATTGACTTTAGTCCTGTTTACATCATCGACTGTGAAAAATTCATTTGACATAGTCATCTCATAAATATTCCTCAAGATGCTTCCCAGTCCTAAAATAACACTTCATTTCATTCTTCAATTTTGCTGTAGGTCAAACAATCACAGCTAGCAGAGAGCAATGAAAATAATAAAAAGAAAACAGTTTTACATTTTAATGATGCTAATTTTTTTAAGTATTGGAAAAGAAGTTGGATCGTTAAATGGAAATAATTGTATAATGCATTAGTGAGGGTATTCACAAAGCATGATAATTCTGCCCAACTAAAGTAATCTAAGCAATACCTTTACACTTTGTGATTGAATCATATATCAGATTTAAACAGTGACTAGTTTCTACATGATTAGGAAAGACATGTCTGTCATGGGAGTAAAAAAATAAAATTTGTTTGTTAAATTACACATAAATATAAGGTACAAATGTATTTTTAAAATACAGATTAAAATAATCACACTTGCATTGTGTACATACGAAAATACAGTATTTAATATTCAATATACACAGACACATTTATGATAAATGCAACTATTTGGCAGTGCCAGTTCTGTCAGGGTTTTTCTGTCCCCTAATTCCATATATATGGAACCAAAATGCTTTGCTAAAATCTCCTAGCTCTGGCGGACATCTTGAAGGAGTTTGTTGATCTCAGCTACTAGCTCACTGGCATCCATGAGTTCATGTTTCCCATCATTCAGGTGGTTGAGCACATTGTCAAAATCATCTTCTTCGTAGTTTTCAGGGATCTCTTCCATGGCTGGCAGCCATTTTGAAGAGGGTTGCACACTGGAGTGAGTTCCTAGTGGGGGCCCAGAGTTGTTGGTGGGATTTTGAAAGTGTGTGCTGGCTGCCCAGGCTGCCACCCCTTGTGGGTAGCCCACAGTTTTGGCTGGCACAGGCCCCTTCCGGCGTTCTAAGGAGTTGGACCTATCCATCTCACTGCATTCGGTATAGGTGTCCAGAGAGGGGGGAAGGAGGCGCTGGAGCACACTGCTCATTTCTGAGAGCAGGGAGGATGTGCTGGGGTCCCCAGTGTCCTCATCATTTGGGGAGTCCTTCCCAAACGTGGAAAAACTCTTCTTCTTCTCACCGGCTTCGGTGGGCTGGCTGTCATCCTCAAGAATCTGGTGCAGGTGCTGCTGCTGGGGTTGTGCTGGAAACTCTTCCCCTGGGATGAACATGTTGCTCCTGTAATCTGAGGATGGTGAGGGCAGTGGTGGCATCCAGCATTGGTCCGAGTGTCCCAGGACTCTGCACTCCTCTGTACACAGTCTCATAGCTGCACTCAGGAAGGCAATGGGGATGCATTATGACACTTGGCATGACTCAAAATGATGGAAAAATGTCATTTTACTATTGTAAACAGAATAGAACAGGTTTAAAGTATTACCATGATGCCAATCTGCTTCTAGGCATAATACACACGCTACAGTTGCAGATCTAATGTGACCACTTGGTTTATGGACACATCTGCAGGTGTATATTTTTCTTGTTTACTGACTAAGGAAAGGAGGTTTATCAGTCATGTGCTTCTCAGGAATATTCTGTTACTAGAGTAATAAGAAAATGGATTGACAATGTATACATGAGAAATTTATACATGACTGGAAAACAGTTATGGCTTGGATGATGAAATAAAAGCATAAATTCTAAGCAATGGAATTTTAAGGTGAAATTCTTAACTTTAGAGTGTCATCAGACAATGCTTCAGTTATATCTTTGTGTAACTTGCTTGGTATTGAGGTTTTTCTCACCTGCTTTAGTGTTAATGGAGGCATGGAAAATATAATTAGCCACCAGGTTAATCGTACTTATTAATCTCTCTTAAAGGTTTTGTAAATTACTTATTGGCTTATTACTTTAACAAGCAATAAAGATATCCTTAATTATTGGGTATCTGTCCCTGTCCTTCTATGAAGTCTTCTCTTAAAGATTTGAAACATATTAATACTTAAAAACATGGAAAAGTCACCAAAAGCTCAATAATATAGGAAATACACTCATGAGTTTTATTATATATGTTTTGATGCCCTACTGGAATGTGATGGTCACACTCACTGAAAGTGACAGAATTAAAAAAAAAAAAAAAAGAACCAGATAAAGAGGACAAAATCTCTAAATGTGGCAAATATAATAATTAAACTACATGAAAACCAGGAAACACAGACAGTAAAATATACTCCACAAACCACTTATTTCAGAGAACACTATGTCCTTTCAGTATCATTCCATTTTAGAGCAAAGAACAGAATTTCAGAAAATTCAAAGTAATGCTCTCTGATGTGAAAAAAATTGGATTGGTATTAGCCATACCTATATATTGAGGGCTAATTTTATAGATATGGCTACTTAAAGATTTCTCTTCCTCCTAAATTATTGTTGAAAAGATGACTCTTGAAGAATGTCAATTCCCTTGTCAGGGAAACCAAGTTGTCTGCCATGTTCACTATGGTATCATCACCACCTGGAAAGGCATCTGCACATATTATTTATTTTCTGAATGAAAAATAAAGCAAGGAGAAATAATGGTCTTTGTTTAAAGGTCATTGTTTACTGATGGAGGCTTCAAGATAATTCTGCCCTTAAACTCCCTCTGGACCTTAATTTTTAATGGAAAAGAGGAAATTTTGAGGAACAAAAATGAAAGCCAGGTTATAATACAAAAGAAGTATGGGAAAGTGTAAACAGTAATAACCATGAGAATCAGGCAAAGAAAGAGGACAAACATGAGTATAATTTTACTATAAAGAAAGATTAAATGTGAATGAGGCAGGTTCATGTAAGCACAAAAGCAAGTTTAGATGACCTAAGTTCACGTATTATTACTTTTTGGAAATATTTACCAACTGTTGTTTTTCATTATTGGATGTGAACAAAAGGAATTAGAAATGGAATACCTAAATAGCAGTGAGACTTTCTCAGCAGTGTAATAACTATCACGGTGGTAATAATTTTTTTGCCTTAATTCCCTAGGTCTTTGAAAATAGAAATGAGACCTGGATCTATTGTCTTACTCACATCCTGTCAGAAGGAAGGAGAACAAACCTGCTGACACCTCTTCATTTGAGTCTCTGGCCTTTAACTTAGCTTGGGAAAGACTTCTTTGCTTGCTGGATTGCTTGATTGGCTTTGTTTTGCTTTATTGTTTAATGATGGCAGTTAGGAAGAAAAATGATGCAGGACTCTAAGAATCCTGAACATAATCTAGCTTTCGAGAAACCTGAAGATAATCAGCATATAACCAACAATACAGTCTGGGTGATCGTTACAGTCTGACAGCACATGTAAAAAGGTAATTTTGATCACAGGAATTATTTGAAAACTGTGAATGCTATTTATGATTTCATCAGAAGAACAAGTAGCAAATTAATTGCAAAATAATCAATTTTTTTTTAAAGTAGCTACTTAGGAGGCAGAGGTCAGGAGGATCATAGTTTGAAACCAGCCCAGGCAAAAAGTTTGTGAGATCCCCATCTCAACTAATGGCTGAACATGGTGGCACACACCTGTCATCCCAGCTACATGGTGAAGCACAAAGACCCTGTCTCCAAAGTATCCAACATAAAAAGGGCTGGGGTGTGTGGTTCAAGCAGTAAAGTGCCTAGCAAGCTTGAGGCCCTGAATTCAACTCCTAGTACCACCAAGAAAGAAAAGAAATGAAGAAAAACGATGAAAGGCTAATGAAGAAAATGACAATAAAAGCAAATGAGAGAGAGAAAGAGATTTTCATTGATATTCTCAATTATTTTCCTGGAGATTCAACAGTTTGGAAATATTTCCAGTCCTGCAAATGTTCCATCCCATACCCAGGGATCCGGATATGCTGGTAAGAAGCTAGTTTGTCTGTCACTTTTTTGAAAGCTCTGCCAGTTGGTTGTGTCATTTGGAGATGGGGGACATGGTAGAAGAAGAAGCTCTCCTGTTCCACTACACAACTAAGTTTGTCACTGTACTACATCTTAAAAGTGGGTCAAGAATCAGGAAAGTGAGTATAATAAGAAAAGCATGCCTACCTTCTATAAAGTCTAGCTACTGAGTGACAACTCAGCTATCTATTGAGTCTGCTGTCTGCAAAGTGCTATGACATCATCCCACCCTAAAAAAGGTTGAGATCTAGAGCTGAGTCAAATGCAACAAATGATGTCATACATACCCAATTAAAGTAGCTAACTAAATGATACTGAGTATACGTCAAGAAAAGGAGAGCCAATGGAGATAGAGGCTGATGTCTTTAAACAAAGAGCAATCCGAAACAAACTTTGAGAGGTAAGCAGCATTTAAACACACAAAGTGAAGAAAAGCCAGCTTGTCAGGTAGGAAGGGCAAGGTGAACAAAAGACTGGAGTGTTATGGGAAGAGATACCTCTCCCTACTGTAAAAGATTCAAACACAGAAAGATTGAGGGTTAATAAACTAGGAGTGGATTTCATTGGCCTTTGAACACCAAGATAAATAGTTCTGTTCAGTGTTGCTGAGCAACAAGAGTCAGGTATTGATTTTGAGCCAAAAAATGTAAATTGAAATGTCCTGCAAAGGTTGTTGAAGCTGCATGAAGAAAAGATTTGACATCCATAGGAGCCACAGAGAGGGAATAGCAGTTTGTACATTGGTGCAATGGACCAGCCACGGAAGAAAGGCCAGGACAGAGCCAGGACACCTACCATGAGAACAGAGAGGATGTAGAGTTTAAAAAGAAGGTATGAAGTACTCAGAGACCACAGATGACGAACAGTGGAATGGACTCAATCATGAAGAAGGAGTATAATAAGAAACAGAATCAAAAGGCTTTATAAATCATCCTGGCACAGCGAAACACATTGGAAAATGAAGACTAGGCAGCCATATATGCTTAGTGTTATAGTTCAAAGTTGAATGAGTAATGAACAACAAAAAAAAACAGTTGACAAACATGAGCCAAGAGACAAAATGCATGCTGATTTTACCACTCAGAATGTAGTATATTTGTGTGAGAATTAAAAGAATGAATGACCAGAAATGACCCTGTTGGCAAGCAATACAGTGCAACCTAATCCATATTTGTTCATGGACTAATGCAGAGAAACATTTCGAATGAGACACTTAAGTCCTAAAAATATGCTTTAGAAAACTGCTGATCTCTTTTAATAGCATTCAGATGTGAGCTTACATTTTTCTCTGCTTGAAGTATTTCCTGGGAATATACATTTACAAACCACAAATTTTAGACCCTAATGTGCCTGCAGAAGTTTCAAGAATGAATAATAAACTAGAATGTTGGTAAAGTGTCATCAGAATGTTTATAATTAAGGATGGTTCTCTTGCCATAGACACTCAGTATGAACTTTGCAGTCTGTGCTGAACGAACATCAACACACTTCATGAACCACTGGTGAGTTCCTGTGTCTGTACCTGCAAGACAGCTCAGATCACACTACACATGGTGACAAGAAGCAAGTGAGGCAGGAATGTATATTCTGTAATATAATTTGCTCTAACACCTTGCTATATACCAGCAATATAGCTGTCCCTTCAGATTCCTGAATTAGGTATAACTGTGTAAATATGGAAATTTTATTAGTGACAACATAAAGGTGAAATCCTAGTTTTAGAATGAAATGTGACGTGAATGGAGCTTAAAATCACTCAGAAAGCAAGACTCACTGTTTTCTAGCTTATTTTTACCCATCTATTGTTTCCCCAACATCTTCTCTCTTTAGTACTTGTACTTTCATTTTTGTTTTAGTTTGAGTGCTAGGTAACTCTCCTGATGTGAAATATGGGGAGGTAGAAACTGAAAATACAGGGAAGAGTAGGAATCTTGACCTCGTTTAGATTAAGTAGTTAAGTGGTAGACCACTTATGCTAATGTTTAGCATGCAAGAGGCTTTGGGTTCAATCTCTAGCACTGAAATAAATGAACAAATAATTTAAAAATACATGAAATATTTTTTTAAAAGATTTTAAAATTAAAGGACTTTAGGCATTCTTCAGTCCCACAAATGGCAAGATTATCTATCTAAGGCAGTTATTCTCCATTCTACTATGATGATAAATTCATGTCTCACTGAATAAACTTCATATGAACTTTAAAATGTATAATGCAATATTGATATCATGCCCATTGTGTTACTTCCATGTTTTATGAAATCATAATTTGTGAAATTACATTATTCAAGGTTTGGGTCCAGGCAGTACCACAGAATCACAAAATCACAGAAATTCAGTCAGCTCCTTCATTATTATATAAGCAAAAATAATAAAACTGATTCTCTTTGAGCAAGGTATCAGAGGCCATCTATATTTCACTAGATTTTTACATTTTTATCTTCAAATTGGTCTAGGAAGTCTAGGAATTAAAAAAGAAAGCACCATGGATGACTATGCAAACATGTACATTAAAGGCTTTAATGCTGTGAGAAGTCCTTTCTATACATTCATCTGGCCAGAGATACGCAGTATCTATTACATAACAACATAACTCAATAGCAACATTTAATAGTTACACAGTAACTAGTAAGACTTTTGGATATAAGGTCAAATAAGCAACTCAATTTTTTAAGGAGGTAAACACCTGTTACTTCATGTATCTGATAGATTAGAGTTTGAGTGAGGAAACAGGTTCAAATCTCACCTCCACTGTATACAACCTGCCTGATGTGGGGTGCATTTTCTAACTTTTATAAGTTTCTATTTGAAAATAGGAAAAAAATATGAAACTTTTTATCACCACACTTCAACTAACTCCAGCAGGCATAATTTCAATACAATATTATAAATTTAAAATTTTTTAAGATGTTTATTCATTGACATTTAAATTATTTCAACTACTGCCACTACAACTAATTCCAACATCACCTAATTCCAATGTTCTGAAAGAGCCTAAGTGGATAGAGCTCATGTGGACCTGGAGTATTCAGCCTTAGCTCAGAATAAGCACAGGGACAGAGCTGGCCATTACTCCTGCTGCCGGTGGGGCCACTGTCATCTTAACTATTACAATTTACAAGAGCTAGAACTTCTATTTATTGGTTTTCCTGTGAATTTTTATAGCTCCCTCATGGTTATTTTCTATGCTCACTTACTTGTTTGTATTTGGAAAGGGGATGTTAGAAAAAAAATTAAAGGTGGGTGATAGAACACCATTCTGCCTTTCCTGCATTTTCCAAATGGCAGTCACCTGATCAACATTCAAAGAAATATGGGTAGGAAAAGGAGCACTTCTGTGGTTCTCAGAGTTGATTGAATACTGCAGTGCTTAGTAACAGGGCTGCTACAGTGATGGAGCCAGTGCTTACTCAGTTGCTTCAGAGAGTTTGTACTGCACAATTAAGAGGAAAAGAACATTAAAGAAAATGTTAGATCAAAAAGAATTAACCTAGAAGGTAACACCCACGCACAGGAAATCAATGTGAGTCAATGCCCTGGATAGCTATCCTTATCTCAACCAGCAAAAACCCTTGTTCCTTCCTATTATTGCTTATACTCTCTCTACAACAAGATTAGAAATAAGGGCAAAATAGTTTCTGCTGGGTATTGAGGGGGGTGGAGAGGGAGGGGGCGGAGTGGGTGGTAAGGGAGGGGGTGGGGGCAGGGGGGAGAAATGACCCGAGCCTTGTATGCACATATGAATAATAATAAAAAAAAATAATAAAGTAACTGAGAAAGAGAAAAAAAAAAAAGAAAATGTGATTCAAAACTTAACAGAATCTCCTCCATCAAAGCTGTGTGCTTATAAAATAAATCCCTATTCCTCTTCCATTATGGTATAGACATAAAATGAGAGGTAGCAAGAAATATTCTATGCTTGCCACCTACAGAGGTGCATTCTTTTCCCTATTTTTAGTGCATAAAGTGCAGCCTTCCTAGTGTATTTTAGTCTCTCATTTTGTGAGTTGGTTCCCATCACAGGAAATGTATCCTCCAAATTACAGTCCATTTCGCCACTATGCACCAAAACAGGCTGTCTGAATAAAAACAAGCACCCAGTAATTTTAGAGAATTGCTCAAGAGGGTCCTATGGCAGTTTAGATGGGGCAGATGGTTTGGCTTTCTGTTCTGCCCTCCCTGCCCCTTCCTTCTCGTTCTGTTAAGCTCTCATGTTTCCTCCTTCTCTAACAACTGTGCACTATGAATTTTAAAATAATTCTAAAGTGTTCCACTTTCTTTTCATTGCTAATAGTGTGCAGATTACTGATTCTTTAGAGCAATTGGCAAATAAAGAAGAAATAGAAGCATGGGAGAAATTCTTCATTTTACTGGTATTGTAGTAGATCTGGAGAAAAAGACCTTACCTGCTGGAATTCTTCCATCTGTAAGAAACAGGTCACTGAATCCTTCGCCCAGCAGTCTGTCTATTGGAGAATCTCGTCCCAAATCATAGTCACTGTCCCCTGCTTCACTGTCACCACGGCCACTGTCTTTCAAGCTAAATTTGTCCATGTCTTGAAGGGCATATCTAGAAAGATCAATCAGGGGAAATATGGTTGATACTCTTCAGCACTCCTGTTGTTTGAGACTTCATAAGCAATGCAAGAATAATTCATACCTATAGCTCCTGGAATATTTGTTTCCTCGAAAACTTGGCCTTGGCTGATATTGCCCCTGGTGAAGCATTGAAAGAAGCTGAGAGACCTGCTGGAAACCAAATAGACAGAACTGATTCCTGAAAAGAAAACCCCCAAGCACCCACACTCTTTAAGCAAGGAAAAACAGTTACTTATTATTTCATACTAAATAGATCATGCTACCTCCATTTTAAAGATCTGCATATGCCAGCCTGTGGCTGGCTGTGCAGCCAGTCACCAAAATCAACTGAAATACATCCCAGAGAAGTTTGTGTGATCTACTAACACAGATTTTTTTTTTTGAAAGAAAACTCCCTTTTAAATAGCTGATTAATTTCAGATAAATGGTCAATTTTAAAAACATACAGAAAATGCTATAAAATCCATTGTAGCACATCTAGCTAAAATAATGTCAGAACATTTTCTAAAGTTGGGCAAATATAACATGCAAGAGCTGGGATTCTGGAATCCTCTGCTGCTGAGTTTTCAGTAGAGACCTTAACAATGAAAACAAAGTAAGACCCTTTAGTTTTTGACTTCCCAACACCTTAACCTGGGAAGTGAAGAGACTAATTAGATAAGCTCTTGAGAGCTCCACATTATTTTTCACTATCACACCTATTGCATATAAGCAAGCAAATTATTTAAGAAAAACTGAAAAGAGTATTTTGAGTGTACTTGCTACATGTCCACATAGTAACTTAAATCCTATTTGACTTGCATATTGTTACTTATTGGTGGGATCACTTAAGAACGAATACTTATGTGGCTTTTTGAACACTAACAGCTGAGTTGTCTGTGAATTGATGCAGGTTATGGTCTTACCTCAACAGCAGGGGTGGCATGGGTGAGTTCTAATGAAAAATTCTCCGGCACGTGGTTCGATGAAATTGTCACCAAACTGTTGAGTGACTGGTGACTGTTGTGACTCTGGCGGCTGCCCATTTGCCCTCTTTCTAAGGTAGGAGATGAAGATGGAGATGATCTGTGATGAGATCTAATGGGCAGAGTGCCATTTATAGTAGGCACCAATGTGATGTCCCCTTTGTGAATCTGCCTCGATGGTCTTTTTGGGTGGTGCTGGTAAGTTGATTCTGCTACCCTGCAGTTGTAGGATCGAGTGTCTTTCTTTTCTCGGTTACACCTAGTTGCAAATAGCACCATAATAACCAATAGCACTGCACAAATTGCACCCAAGGAAATAATTATGATCATGGAGACATCCAAGGAAGCCTGGCTTACTGAGGTCATTGCTGTACTTGTCACTGATTCTGAATACTCAAAGATCACACACTTCAGAAGGACTTTGGTATGCAGCTGAGGGGTGCCTTTGTCCTGGATGATAACTGAGAGCTCCCACTCTGTGTAGGGAACGAATTCCATACTCACATTGGTATGGATGTCACATGATTGTGGATCAATTACAAAGAAGTTTTCTTCATTACCGGCTACTATGAAGCAGCTGAGTTCAGCATTTACCCCAGAGTCTCTGTCAATCGCCCTTATTCTTGTGACATGAAAGCCACTCTCGGCCCCTTTGGGGATGGAGATTTCTGCAGTGTTATTGTGCAGTGCAGGCCCTATAACCACAGGGACGTTGTCATTTTCATCGATGATGGTGAGCACAACTGTGGTATTGCTCACAAGTTGCTTTGGACTCCCACCATCTCTTGCTTCCACCACAAAAGTGATCTGACTCACTTCTTCATGATCAAAGATTCTGAGAGCATAGATGGCTCCATTAGATGGATCAATGGTTACATAGGTGGTGATGGAACTTCCCAAGACAAAACTCTCCAAAATGGTGTATGTCACCTGCCCGTTTTCCCCAAGATCAGGATCTGTAGCTGTAACAGTGGTGATATATGCGCCTGGTGAGTTGTTCTCTGAGATTACAAATTCATACCGGCTTCTCTGGAAGTGGGGTGGATTGTCATTTATATCATTGATTTGAACAGTAAAATGTTTTACTGAAGAGAGACTTGGTGTCCCCTTGTCCTCAGCGATTATAGTCAAACTATATTCAGATCTCTTTTCTCTGTCCAGCGTGGTATTGGTCAAGATTAAATAATTGTTTTCATACGTTTTCTGAAGTTTAAAGTGACCATGTCCATGAAGCTTACAAACTATTTCTCCATTCAGCCCAGAATCCTTGTCTTGAACCCTAACCAAAGCAACAAACGTCTCAATAGGATCCCCTTCAAAAATATAAGATACCTCTTCTTTTCCAGGAGACATGAGGTTGATGTTAATCTCAGGTTTATTGTCATTGACATCTACGACCTTAATTATAATTTTGCAGTGAGCAGGAATTGAATTCGGACCCAAGTCTTGGCCTTGCACATCAATCTCATAAGACTTGGTAATTTCATAATCCACTTGCCTGAAAAGAGTCAAATGCCCGCTCTCTGAATCAATTTTGAAAGTCTCTATAATTTTGGGAGACACGTGACTGCTGAAGGAATATACAATTTTCCCGTTAGCGCCCTCATCTGGATCGGTAGCATTCAGATCCAGGAGCAAAGTGCCCACAGGAGAGTTTTCTAAGAGTTGGATTACATAAGACTGCTGGTCAAAAGCGGGGCTGTTGTCATTGGAGTCTGAAATGCTTATTTTCAGGATGGACGAGCCGGACCTCTGGGGCACTCCCATGTCCGAGGCGGTGAGCTGAAGCTCATAGCTGGACTTGAGCTCCCGATCCAACTCTCTGACCACTATAAGGTCCGCATACTTGGCTCCATCAGTCCTGGTCCGGACCTCGATATTAAAATAATCATTGGCAGACAGGGAGTATGTGTGCAGGGAATTTTCCCCGACATCAGGATCAGATGCGCTGTCCAGAGGGATGCGAGTTCCTACAGCCGCACTCTCGGATATCTCGATAGGGATGACAGCCCTCGAAAACTGCGGGGAATTGTCATTAATATCCAGCACCTCGACTTCGATGTGGAAGAGCTGCAGATGCTCTGTGGGCAGGGTGATCACATCGAACTCGATGGAACAGTTCAAGTTTTTCTGGCACAGCTGCTCCCGGTCGATGGTCGTCCCTACGCTAATTTCCCCGGTATTCTCATTGACTATAAGCAGTGGAGAGTTCCCCCTTTGCATGGCTCGAAAACGAACAGCAGAAGGATTGGGCAGCTTCAATAAAACATCAGCCACATCCTCGGACAGTCTCGCAATGACCGATCCAACTCTCTGTTCCTCATAAATCCTGTATTTCAAATTCTTGCTCAGCGCACTGTGATCCAAAGATACCATCAGGAGTGCAAAAACAAATCTAAAGCGCATTTTAGAGATTGGATGCATTGGTCCCTTTTAGAGATTTCCCCTCCCAGCGCAAGTCAAACCAGCAAAGCGATTCCCCCAACTTCCTCCGCCAACTTAAAGCTGGGCGACATTTGGCACCCTGGACACTTGAAAGCGTCTCTTAATCACACAGCACAGCAATTAAAAGCTCGCAAAGTTCTGTGACATACACACCGTGTCTCGATTCGCAGATACCGGGGTGGAGTCCGATGCTTGCATTTGGGGAGGTGGAGAGGAAAGGGGGGTGGGGGCGCCGGCCGGGTCCGCGGTGCAGCGCGCAGCGGGTCACCAGGGCGCCGTGCGGTGCGCGCCCGCGGCGGCGCGGACTCCAAGGATGGCGGGGCGCGGACGGTCCTCCCTCGGTGGCGGTGGCGGTGGCGGCCGTGGTCCCGGCTGGCTGCAGACTTCACGCCGCGGCTCCGACTCCAGCTCGGATCGCTACAACTTCACTTCAACTCAGACAAAGCTCCGACCCGGCGCGTGCTGAATCGCTTCCAGCCAATCAGCGGCCTTCCAAATCCAGCGCTCTGGAGGCCGGACGCGCGGGCGAGCGCGGGGCGCGCGCGGGGAGGGGGGCGGGGCCGGGGGAGCGAGCCCGCGGGGCGGGGGGGGGTGAGGAACAGAGAGAGAGAGGAGAGAATGAGAGAGAGAGAATGGGAGGAGAGAGAGAGAGAGAGGAGAGAATGAGAGGAGAGAGAGGAGCGAGGGAAGAGAGGAGAGAGAGAGAATGAGAGGAGAGAGAGAGAAGAGAGAGAGAATGAGAGGAGAGAGGAGCGAAGGAAGAGAGAGAGGAGAGAGAGAGAATGAGAGGAGAGAGAGGAGCGAGGGAAGAGAGAATGAGAGGAGAGAGAGGAGCTAGGGAAGAGAGAATGAGAGGAGACAGAGGAGCGAGGGAAGAGAGAATGAGAGGAGAGAGAGAAAGAGGGGAAAGAGAGGGAATGGGAGAGAGAGAGGGAATGGGAGAGAAGGATGGGGAAGAGAGAGAGAATGGGAGAGAGAGAAGAAAGAGAAGAGAGAGAGAGAGAGGCCTGGTGTGGGTGCGAGGGAGGGGAGGCACCCCGGCCTCTGCCCTCCTTTCCACCCACTGCATTCACTTTCTCTGAGCGTGCCACGACAAAGGGGAGACAAATTACGAAAGAAAAAAAAAAACTTTAAATCAACTTCTGGTCGCCTTTATTTTCTATGGCACTCTAAATGGTTCTCGTTTTCTTAATCACTCTTTCTTCTGCCACAAACATGCAATCATCTCGCTTTTCATAGTGCTTAAGTGCTGGTTTAACTTAAAATACCTCTAAGTGCGTTTTGTGGGTGGAGGAATTTAATAAAATTTGAAAACTTGATTCTAATTATGTTCCTCAGCCCTCCTCCTTCCTCTGTCCTCCCCTCCCGCCTCGGGAAATTCTTGGGTCTTTCTCCTCCTAGGAGCACAAGCAGATTTTCTCTGTGCTGTGTTGTAAAGAACAGAACAAGTGAAGAGGTTTCATTTTCTGTTTTCTTTCATCTTCGTTCTTTGAAGATAAGAAAAGGGCTATCTTGCTCTGGATTTCTCCTAATTAGCAAGACTTAAAGCAACACCTCGGAATTCAGAACTCATTAACAATAGAATTCTACCTTTTATCACTCTTTTCCTCGAGTTTGGCCAAAATTATTTGTATTTCTTTGTCTTGTACTCAAAAAATCTTATTTATCTTAGGCAAAAGACATTCAAAGCTTTTGCATGCCAATTTGTACAAAAGGTGCCACCATGCCTGGTGAACCTTCAGTATGTGTCCTAAGAGATACGGGCTCCATAGGTTCCACGTCAAATTTTTAAAATGTATGCTGTATTTATGAAATCACTTTTCTGATAACTATTTTAAAAACCCACAGCTTGTTTACACTGACAAATAAAACGCCTGAGCTGAAAATTGCATTTCCTGTACATCAGAACACTAGAAATATCCTGGGAGGCCTGTGCTCTATCCAGGTCACAGAAACTGATACGGTATTCTTATTTGGAAATGTGATTATTTATGATGCTCTTTCCGCTCTGCAATTCCTTTTAAGTTTATCATTGTGGCTCCATTCTTGCTTTTTTTTTTTTTTTATTTCCTACCTTCTGCATTATACCTCAGCTGTCTTCATCTACTTGCATATTTGCTGTTTCACAGAATCTCAATTTTTCTCATTTATTTTCTCCTACTCTCTATTTTGCCCCCCAGAAACATATATAAAAAATAGTAATTTTCTGATTTTTCCACTTTGCTTACTCTCAGCAGAGCTCAGCTAAAGTCACTAAAAAGGTTCTTCCAAAAAAGAAAGCAAAGGAGTCTCAGCGTGAACCCTTCTTCTTTTTAGGCATTCAAAAGCATTTTATAAGCCATTGTCTTTTTTTTCCCCTTTCCTGAAACCAGTGCTGTGTGGCAAATTGTGCAGAATAGAAATGCCTATAATGAATGTTTTTAGTACTGAGTCACGCTGATGAACATTCTGTCCCCATGAATAATACTGTTTTACAAGTTTCTAGCGCTTTCAAATTGCTGATCCCCAAGCCCTATAGACAAATGAGGAAAACTACCACAAGCAACTGGGACTTTGGAAACACATAGCCATCTGGCCTTGATCTCTAACAATCTGAGCCAATAATTATATCAATTCAGGCTTTAGTGGAACCCCTGTGCAAACTCCAAAAGAGCAAAGAAAGGAATTAGTGACTATTCAAAGTTGGGGTGAAAATTCAAAGGTAATCTAATTCCATTAGTTCTAAGAGAGTTTTCTTTGTGAATTTGATGTCTACCCCTCAAAACTCCATGTACAGGACATTTTTCCCCTATACATAAAATGTAAAAATATCTTTAAAATCCTTCTGCTGTTTCCAACAGTATGCTTAAACATAATTATTGTGAAAAAGCCCTTGAGTATAACTCACAATGTATTTCTGTAAGTGAGTCTTTAAAGAAGTTGGAATTATTTCATGGAGAATGATGTGTTTCACCTGTGATATTATCTTCACCAAACATTTCATTTTATCTTCACCAAACATTTCAAAAATCTCCTGAGAAGTTGTATGTACTTACTTGAAAGTATTGTTTTGATTTTTCCTTAATATATACTACTTTGTCCTTCCTTCCTTTCTTCCTTCCTTCCTTCCTCCCTTTCTTCCTTCCTTCCCTGCTCTCCCCTCTCCCCTCTCCTCACCCTTCTTTCTTCTTCCTCTCCCCTGTCTATTTTTGTGGTGGTAGTGATTGAGGCTTGTACATTCCGGGGAGAAGCCCTACCACTGAGTCACAGAGATACTCCCAGCCCTCAGTGGTTTTTCCCTTCAAAAAGTACAAAATTAAAAATATTTTTGCTTATGTTTTGATTAATTCCATCAAATCATAATTTCCTCCTTTGGTATCACTAAAAAAAATACCTCCCCCAAAAATCTATCCCCACATCATTACTAGGGAAGAAATCTAACTTCTCTTAGTGTAATGATGAACTGATTGAACTGACTTGTTCTGGACATTTGCAAAGTCATGGAAAGAGAGCAGACCTTTTAAAGCAATTTCTCAAATAAGGAATGAAGGAAAGTTGATTGGATGCCACTAAAGATCCTTCCTTCTTTGACATGGCAGTCTCCATTGACAAGGAAAAGAAGGGTCCCCACTTCTGAAAGACCTTGGCATTGTGAGTGACCTCAGGCACGAGAACCAAGTGCTTTTGAGCAACTAGAGGAGAGTGTTGAGCACATCCACCCAGTTGTGTATGTCTTATCCTTTCACCACCCCAGCCTAATTTGTTTCTAAATTACTAAATCCAGAGAAAATATAACAGCTGGCATAGACAATATATCTTGTCACCCTTGAATGACAATTCCATTACACCACTTAATTTGATTATTTCTGTTTCAAGGGAAATTCAGTTTTATATACCTAAATCTTTAATATTTTCCTTCCTCTTGAAGATGAAGGGAAATTAGGGACCCTACTGTAAAGCTCAAATGTCTCACATTTCATCAAAAATAATGTCCCTTTTGGTACTGGAATGTAAAATTAAAGTCATTAACATTTCTGAAAAGCAGATATAGATTTGTTTTAAATAGCTTAGCTACTAATTTATATTTTGCCAGAGCATATGAAATAAGAAAACTACTTAAAGTAATAAGTATTCACTTCCATCTCACCATATCTGTAAATTCCCATCAACAATTTAAAAGCAATAGATCTTACGATCTTCTTGGAGATTGGCATAGTATTTCAATATTTCCTCATTGCGTGTGCTGTGAAATGACTTGTAGAAAGAATGTGTAGTCCTGCCTGACACCATATGGCCATCATGACTCTGAATAATAACCCTACTCTGAATCCTAGGATATTATAAGGAAAAGGCTTTACAAAGATTAGTAAAGTTAAGAAATCCCAATATTTTAGAACTGATGAAAATAAAGAGGTTGCTTGTTAGATGTGTGATTGCAGGGAGCACCAATTGACAGTCATGCAATCATGAAAATACTATTTAACTTTTCTGACTCTATATAATCCCTTGTGCGGTGAAAGTAATAATTTTCTATAAAAAATTCTTGCAAGAATTTAAATGACTGGGGTTTTTCAGTAAGGCTGGTCCTAAGTAGACATGCAACAGAGGTTACTTTACTCTTCTTAGCTTTTTTTATTATTTTCTGCCTAATATTCATTGATGAAAAAAAAATAATAAGGATTATATCTGTAGGCCTTGTTGTATTTCAGACTTTTGGTTTGAACACTTGCATAATTTTATGCTGAAGAGCTTAACTTCTTGCCATTTTGATTTGTGAAGGTCACCTGAAAAATGTAATCCACAAAACTAATAGCACTGAACTATGATGATCTTGAAAAGTCACAGCTTTACTTAAAGGAAATTCCACAAGATCTACTGAACATAACCTAAGTATACCTCGAAACCCTAACACATAAAAGCATATTCAATAAGAGAAGCCTACCAGATGTTTAATTATCTTTTATATTGGGTCAGGTACATATCTAGTATTTACTTCTTCTGTCATTCAAGGTAAACATTTTATATTTTAAATATCCTGTCACACTGCAGTAGGAAGACAAAAGAATATAATTTTATATGATATTTTGACATGACAAGGAAAGGTAAAATTTGCCAAATAAACTTCATTTAAAGAGCACTATTTGCTTTTATCAATCATGTTCCATCTTTCCATATTGTTCTCCCTGTATTTCACTTACTGATCTTTTCAGTAACATAACAAT